GATAGAAGTCTTTAGTGGAGTTCTTAGAGATCTAGGATCATAGACTTAGAGCGAGTTGCAAGCACCGAAGTTATTTAATCAGCCCCCTCACTTTACAGATGAGGAAACCCAGGCCCAGAGAGGATAAGGGGCTTGTTCAGGGTTACACAGGTAGCAAGAAGTTGAACCCAGGTCCTCTCACTTCAAATGCAGTCCTCTTTCCACTGTACTGCACTGCCTGCCCTCTGCTGTTTGAACTTTTTAAAGGCAGTGACTCGGCTAAAGACAAACTTACTAAGTTTGTAGATGACACAAATAGCTAATTACAACAACAAATCTCAATATGACTTAATAGTATTATATACATTGGCCAAAATAGCTAATGCCATATTAGTCTACCCTAAGGGAGACGTGGTGTCCAAAACTAGGGAGGTGCTAGTCCTACAGATTTCTTCTCTCATTAGAGCACATCTGGATGTTATGTTCTGTTTGGGTTGCTGTCATTTAGGAAGGGCATTGACAAGATAGTTTCCAGAGGAGGGCAACTAGGTAAAAGTCAAGGATGTAAGAATGAGGGAGAGAGAAGGAACAGTGTAATGTGATGGCCATCTTCAGCTGATGGGGGCTCTCATGTGGAAGAGTGCAGAACTGGGATGGGGGAGTCGGGGGGGGCAGTAGATTATGGTAGAATGATAGTGGCCTCTGAAGTCCCTTCCAACTTTGTACTTCTGGGACTGAGTAATGAATACTCCCTGTCCATCTGAAGCTCTTTTACCCAGGCTTCCCTCCCCCTCCCCCCATGCTTTGACTATGCTTCTCTCCCCTTCTCAATCGCCTAAATCTGATGAGATGGGTGGGGATGTTCTCTGCGTCAGTTCAGAGATTTTAGGGGAGAATGGTTTGTGGAAGGAACTAGGGAACACTTCCTTGCTCGCAGCTTATTTCCTGGTCTTTCTGTTAGGCAACTGGTAGTGGGAGGGGACAGCTGTGAGTGGAAGAGCCCTTCCTGATAGACATGCTGCCCAGTGGGAGCCTGCTGCCCATAGTCTACTTGGAGGCAGGGAAAGGTTGTGGAGGGCAAATAGAATCTGTCCATACCGTGTGACCCGTGGAGGGCACCAGCAGCACTTCCTGAAAGCCTGGTGATTACCTGTCTTCTGAGGGAGGGCTGCAGAAGGACTGTTGAGGAGGGAGCTTCTGAGGACCCAGCTGCAGCAAAAAGCGGGAGCCACCGCCTCTAGCCAGCAAGCCAGGCCTCTTAATTCCAGCATTTCTTTGGGTAGGTGGTGATATTTAGGCAGTGGACCAAAGAGAAACGTAAGCTCTGGCTTTGCTGCCCTGTGGTGGTTGAGGTGGGCATTGTCTTTGAAATGCATAATACCTGCAAGGTAAGGCTAGGGTCACCCTGGGAATCCATTTTTCTTAGTGTTCAAGACTGGGCAGAAGAAGTTTTAAAAGATATTTGTCAAAGGAAAAAGTGCATTTTAAAGATTTATGAATTTATGGAAAAAGAGGAGAGTTTTAATAACTCATACTCTCAAGGAATCCCCTTTTTTCTCCAAAGTAAAATGACGCTTTTCCCCAAACCTTTTTAGTATGGAAAGCTCCCCAATAAAATATCTCCCGTGCCTATGTACTCCTATCTTGACATTTTTAATCACCTGTGAAAGCACTTTAATGCAGGCTGCTAAGAACCTCCTCCTCCCACCCCCGCTTCCCCTCAGCACTCAGGAGATTTTTTTGTTAATATTTGAGTGTCCTCAAGGCTCTGTATCAATGAACTGGGGGGAAAGGCGTTGTTCTTTACCATCTAAGACTTTGTGCTATTGGAAGAGGAGAGAGACGGTATCATTCTTCCCATTCCTCTCATACAAAGTGAATGTGCGGGTGCCCCTGTGAGTATTGATCTTGTAGTCAAATGACCTGAAATTCAATCCAGGCAGCACTGCTTCAAATGCTGTGACCTTTGCTGCAAGTTACTTAGCTTCACTGTGGTATAGTTTCCTCATCTGTAAAATGAGTGAGTGGGAGTAGATCAGCCAGTCAGTCAGTAAGCCTACTATTAGGTGCCAACTATGCACCGGGCACTGTACTAAGAGATGGGGGTACAAAGAATGGCAAACGACAGTTCCCATCCTCGGGGATGCCGAAGTCTGACGGGGAGACAACATACGCGTGACAATGTACAGAAAAGGTAAATACCGGATGAATGAGAAATGGTCACCGTGCTGCAGGTGTGTAGGACTTTGTTTTGTACAGAGATGTGTTGCATTGAAAGACTAAAGAAAACTTGCATAGTTAGGGTGACACGAGACTGAATTTTAGGAACGGAAGATAGATATTTGATACCAAGGAGGTGGGAGTATCTAAAAGTAAGATTTTCATAGCTGGGATGTCTGCTGGATTGGAGGTGGGAAGAAAAGGCCAGTTCAAGAAATGGCACATAGGGAGAGAGGAATGCATTTAGAGACTCGTCTTTAGGCAAACACATTCTTAACCTAGACTCAAACTTTTAAAAATTTTTATATGTTTTGATAACTGCATTATAGTACAGTTGGTTTCCTTTATAATGCTATGTATTTTATTTTCTGTATTTAAAAACGTTATTCTGACTAAGTGGGACGGTACACTTCAGCATACTAACAGAATGGGGATCCAAGACCCAAAAAAAGGTGACAAATTCCTGCTTTAGAGCACAGGTGTCAAATGTGTAGCCTCATGCAGCCTACGACACTCCCCAAGCGTAGCCCGAACCAGATTAAAGTATGATTGGGAAATATTATACATAAAATATAAAAATATAATAAAAAATGTGGCCACAGAGATCCTTAAGTATAGCTTAGTGGCCCCTATTTCTATTTGTTTGACACCATTGCTTTAGAGGAAATCTTTTAGCATGTTATAATTATGCCTTTAAAATATATAGGCCAACAAAAGAATGTAATATAGTACTTTCTGGGCAGCTTGATCAGACTGTCTCAGATGTTGACATTTTACAGCAATTTGTTGGATTTATTTCAATGGATCCATGACTTCATCCTCGGCTTGTTCTTCCAGTTGTGCAGATTGTTGCCATCCTTGCGTGCCTGCCCTTCATGTACACATGATCTTGTCACTGGCAGTCCACCTTACATTATGGGAGCCTTACCTGAATTCTCTTGTAGTGACAAGTGTAGATTTAAAGCTGGAAGGGACCGTAGAAGTCATCTAGTCCAATCTTACTGTTTTTACAGTTGAAGAAACTGAAGCTTCAGCAGGGTAAATGATTTGCCTAAGGCTAGAGAGTAGGATTCCTTAGTCCCACCATGTGACCAGCTCATCTTTTTTCATCGTACATTTCTTTAATGACATTCTTTACGCTGCTTCTAACTGATGCTTGTTGTTGTTTTTTAATAAGTTTTTATTGATATCTTCTGGTTTGTTTGTTTTTTGGTGGTGTTTTTTTTTTTTTTTACATCTTCTCATTTATCGCTGGTATCCCTTCCCTTCCCAGAGAGCCATCCCATATAACAAATGGTATTTTTTTTAAAGAGGAAAAAAAAGTCAGCGTAACTGATTGGTGTGTTGTCAAAGTCTAGGGCTGGGTTGAGGTTCTCCTCATCTCTTTCAAATCATGCTTGATTTTTATGACTCTGTTATGTTCACTTTTGATTTTTCATGTGTGCTGTTCTTTCCATTTACTTTTTTGTAGTTATAGTATACCTTGTTTAATTGGCTCTGCCTACTTCTCTCTGTACCAGTTCATTTTGATCTTTCCATGCTTCACTATATATATATATAACACACATGATTTCTGGCAGCAAAGTAATATTCCACTACATTTATGTACCACAGTTTGTTTAGCCATTCAATAATTGATAGGCATCTACTTTATTTTCGTTTCTTTGCTTTCACAAAAAGTGCTGCTATAAATATTTTGGTGTATATGGGGGCTTTTTTCTTATTGATGGCTTCCTTGGAGTATAAGCCCGGTAATGGAGTCCTGGTTCAGAGAGTATAGACACATTTTAGTCACTTTATTTGCATAATTCCAAATTACTGTCTAAAATGGTTGTACCGTTTCACAGCTCTACCAACAATGTATTAATAATGTGCCTGTCATTCTACAATCCCTCCAACGTTTTGTCATCTTTGGCATTTTGCAAACCTTGAGATCTCAGGGTTGTTTTGATTTGCATTTCTCTTATTAGTGATTTGGAGTTAGTGATTTTTGGAATCTTTCAGGTGGTTTTGAATACTTTGTAATTCTTCTTTTAAGAACTGTTTGTTCATATCCTTTGACCACTTAAGTCTTGGGGAATGGCTCTCTGATGCTTTGTTTGTAATGTGTCCTAGCATTACTGCAAGTAAAACCCTTTCTGTTGCCCTATGAGTGATCCTCAACTTCAAGAAAAGAGTTCTTTTTACATGGAAAGATTGACACCATTTCTGAGTGATGTCATGAATGGCTTATCCCATGTGATGGACTTTTCTGCATGTATGAGAGCTAGAAACAGTAATATCATATGTTAGGCTTTTGTGCATGAATGAGATCTTTAAACAGTAGTATGTTCATTTTAAACTCACTGGCAAAACTATGTTCTTTTGAGGTCTTTAGCAATCATTACAATTGAGCACATTTTTTACTATCAGATTGATAGGGCAATTCAAGCATTATTAATAGGAAGTAAATTCCTAACTCTTTATTAGTGAAGCAGTTGAAATAACCTGTGCTGCCTTCAGATTAAAGCCATAATTGGCAAATGATCTAATATTAAACTTATCCATTCCTGTCTGAGTGTGAGATGATTTTATTGGACATACTGTTTAGCCAAGTGCAGTTTTAAATAGTGAATCAACAGGCATTTATTGACCACCAACTATGTGTCAGGTATTGTTCTAGATAATTGGTACAATGAAAAAAATTAAACAGTCCCAGCCCTCACAGAACTTACATTCTAACAAGAAGTTATAGTTACTCCTTCCTTATCATAACTTTCCCCGTCATGGTTTTGTTATGTTGTGGGTTGGCATATCATATCAAATGGGAATTTTTTGAGAATTTTGTGGAAGCGCAGACAATGTGTGAAGGCTAGCAGATGACAAAAAAAAATTTAGAAGCTCAGAAATGCATGAACTATATATATATATATATGGAGAGAGAGAGAGAGAGAGAGAATGATACCAACATATTTTATCTTTTAATACCATAATAATTCAGACGAATTCTCTGATACGAAAGGAGGGTTGAAAAATTTTACAGAGATTTTCCGGATTGTGGGGGCACTGTGCCCCAACCCCCATGATGTGGAAGGGTTGGCTGTATTTACCAATTTGTGTTATTTATCATCCATATTAGATTTAGTACAGAACTCACTTATTCTTTTTACTGTCCAGCACTGGCTAAATATATTGCCTGTCTCCAAAATTTAGGCACCATTCATGGAATGAGTAATAAATTCCTGTCACTACCTTGAAAGACTAAAGTTGCTTTAGTTCTCATTTTCTGGCAGAACTTTTCTTTTTCTCCTTCCTCTTGTCTCCCAAGTGTTTGTGCTGTTCTTACCAGAGCTCCTTGAATTCAGAGGTCTGAGGCCCTCAGTTAAGTTGTAGGCGTCCATTACTCATTGTACATTGTCCTACACAGCCTGTGTTTAGTAACTGCTTATTGAAATAATTGAACGTGCCTCCCAGCTACTACTCTTATTTTCTTGTCTTTCTTCTTTGGTTTTATAGTAAGAGGCAGTTAACCAAACACATCCTTTTGGTGAAGTGGATAGAATGCTGGACTTGGAGTCAGGAAGATTTTAGTTCAGATCTAGCCTCAGAAACTTCCTGGCTGTGTGACCTTGAGCAAGTCACTTAGCCTCTGTTTGCCATTGGAGAAGGAAATGGCAAACCACTCTAGTATCTTTGCCAAGAAAACCACAAAGACAAAGGTGCATGGAGTCAGAAAGACTGAATAACTGAATAGCCAGAACATGTCCCTAATCAAGTGATGGAGGAGGCCAGCGTTCATTTTGGCCTCTTAGATTATGTCCTGCTGCATGGCTTGAGAGTCAGCCTGGCAGCAGAGCAAGGAGCAGTGGTGGTTCTCCTCTCAGAGAACCTGAGTCAGAGTTCCTGCTTTCCTCCTGATTTACCGGCTCTATGACCAGGACTAAAAGGATCATATCCACAAAACACTTTGTCTTGTTATTGACTACCAACTACTCGCAAGTGGCTACCATGTCTCTAGCCCTCTGCTACATCTGCTGAAATGCAAGCATTGTATACATGAGGCAGGGATCCTGCCTACGAGGTTACCTACTATCCAGTTAGGGAGAGGAAGGATGTGCTTGATACAATTAGTGAGCAAGAGAATATTAACAAAATGCTAAATAATACAGTACAGATAATTAGTGGATAGGATAATATATAATAAGGCGATAATTGTGCCTCACAGGCAGACAGCATGTGGGAAAGGTGACAACAGAGACTGTCATATTCTCTAGCAGAGATCTGGCAAATCTTTGGCCTACCTAAGAGTTAGTTAATTAAAGCAATAAAAGACTATTACAGAATTGCTTCAGGGCAATGCAGCAATGGTGTTGTAGTTGCAGAGAACCCTTAAAAGCACAGCTTGTGAACATTTTATTCCACATTTTAATGGCCTGAAGCCAGTAATATCCCTAGCTCTATGCCCTATGTCACAGGAAGATATGCCCCCCCCAAAAAAAATGTAGTTGAAATTGTTTTCTTTACAAAATTCTGTTTCATGTAAATATTTTGTAAAATTCTGTTTTACATGAAATTTTTACTACATGTATCCTGATTTAAGGAATACATGTTGTAAATTATTTGTCTTCCTAAAGAACATATTATTAAGCTAGCTGTAATTAAAACTGTTTCTGAAGCTGCTTCATGCAAATATTAGTGCAATTATTATAAATGTGTGAACTATTCGTATTTTCTCATTTTCAGAATTGCCTTTATTTTTAAAATGTGCCGAAAAACAAGTCAAAGAATAGAAAAAGAATGGTTGTGTACATTAATGGGTCAGTGAGAGGAAATATCTTGTGATGCCCACTGTTTCTAACCTTCTTTGCAATTTTTATAATTAGCCTTCCTTATCTGAAATGCCAATGTAGTATTCTAGCAGATAAGCAGTAGTATTATCCTCACAGCTCTCCAAATAAAAAATGACATATAAATGCATGTCACATTATTCATCTC